GTCAACGATGAACTAATTTGACGCTCTCGCCCGCACTATGTTCGATGTCCGTGATCGTAATGAAGCCACGCCCCCTGAGCACAGACGGCCTATCGTTGCGTCGCGTCGCGGTCGCACCGAGTCTCCGCCAATCAGCACGTCGGAAGCGCTAGCGTTACGCGAAAAGGGTAACGCTCGAATAACGCTCGAAAAAATTCACTGCCCAAACGGAAAAGTCTGAACGCCACATAAGATGTTTTCACATCAAAAAAAAGGTGGGCAAGTGGGTGTCGCTATGCTGTACAGTAGGTTACAAGTGGGTCGCTGTATAATGGATGATATTAAAATTGAATTCAACGATATAATATCATTGTATAAGAAAAACGATTCTGAGCGGAAACGGTATGTCAGTCTAGGTATAAGACATATTATATACTAATATACTATATACATATCTATGGTATTAAACAAAAAATTGACCTAGGTAGGTAGGTATAATAAAATATAAATTCCAAATTAATCATATCACAATATCCATTAGGTACTTATAAGCGTTATAAATCAACAACAAACCGTGATACTATCATAGATATATAATAGTACACTTTAGAAGTTTCAAGTACTCACGAATAATATTATACAATCACAACAAGTTATTCTAGGTTTTTTAATATGTAATTTTGTCCAGATATGAATTTAAAATGTCTGTACAAAATAACTGGGCTCATATATTTTTTAGATTTTTTGGCTACAGTATGAACTATTTATGAGAATCTTTTTTTTTAATTTTCAATCCTTAGCTATAAAAACTGAACATTTTATAATTTATTAATTAAGATGATTGATAATTTTCGAGATTTTGATAAATTTTGCCAAAATGCGATCTTCAAATGCTTATAAAAAAAAATTGTGCCTATGTATTTTTAATATTTTTCAATTGCTATTGTAACAATATACCAGGAGCCTTGTATTAATTTTTTACACTTTTTGGCCCAACAGATAAAACTTTATTGATATTTATAGAAAAAAAAAATAAAAAAATTGAAAACTGAAAATGTCCGTAAACGGCTCAAAGATTCAAAATATTTTCAAAATTGTATGGTGTATAGGAAATGCTAATATAAACATTCAGTGAAATTTACATGTATTTACAGTAATCCGTTTTTGAATCACAACAAAATAAGGAAATCGCCACATGAGAAATCGAGTAAAAATTTGAATTTCAAACGCTCATAAAAATTTAATCTGACTTTCTTATAGAATTTTTTTTGTTGATAAATGTAGGAAATCTTATAAGGAGACTTGTATTACATTTTCAAATCTTAGATTTAAAAAGAAAAATGTTTACGAATTCTTAACTCAAAATAATTTGCTAATTTTCGTGATTTTTCCATATTTTGTCAATTTTTGAACTTTAAATGCTTATAAAAAAAAACTGTGACTAACGATTTTTAATATTTTTCATCTGCCTTTGAAACAATATACTAGGAGCCTTGTATTAGGTACATTTTCAAGTATTTTTACTCAACAAATAAATTTTTATTGATATTCATAAAAACAAAACTAATAAAATTGGAAACTGAAAATGTCTCTAAACAGTTCAAAATAAATCAAATATTTTGAAAATGTTATCGTGTATAGAAAATGCAAATATAAACAACCACTGAAAATTTCATGTATCTACGGTCATTTGTTTTAAAGTTACACCAAAAACCAAAATCGATTTTCTCGAAAACAGATTTTGCGTGAAAATTCCCGTTTTTCCTTAATTTTTCTTTTGTTTTTCCCGGCGCTTTTGAAAACTACTGGGAAATTTAAATTTTTACATCCTCAATGCACCTTCGATATTCACTGTCCAATCGAAAAAGATACTGAAGTCGAAAATCGAAGCATTATTTCGACTACTTATCGTGTACCCAGACACAAAAAAAAAACACACATCATTGTAAAATCAATACATTTGTCGTTCCACTCAGAATCTAAAAGTGGTTGGGACAAGGAACTTTATGAATTTTAAACTGATAAATAATTTACAAAATAATTTTCTCATGACTATAAATAGCTCAAAAAGAGTCAAAATAGTTTGAAAATTTTACCATGTATGGAAAATTCAAGTATAAATATTTTTTACTTTTTTTGTTACAGGTGGAAAAACTTATGTAACTTCTTCTATTTAACTTACCCTACCAATAATATCACCATATAAAATAATTACAAGTGATAATTTGAAGACAATTCTTAAAACCCTATAATATTTTTTTAATTTAGTGGCTAAACCATATAGTTTAGCGCCAACGCAAATTTTTCAATTTTTTTTTCGGAAACCTATGATTTGCAACCAACTATAAGATTTATGATGCAAAAATTAATTCATGGAAATCATTAGCTGTTATCGCATAGCCTTACGAATTCACGATTTTCGGTGTTTTACGCACCCGTACAACGCTTAAAGTATACTTATAGGCAGTGGTTGAATTGGGGGGGACGCGGGGGGACGGAGTCCAACTTCTATTTTTAAAATATTTTAGCGTACCCCTTCTAATTTCAAGAATTGATAAGACATTTAAATGTTGGGGGGACGCACAAATGTTTTATACTTTTGCATACCCCTTCTATTTTTTTTCCAATTCAAGCACTGCTTATAGGTATACTTATAACTTATAAGTATACCTATAGGTACTTATAACTTGTTATACATCAACAAAAACCGTGATACTATAATAGATATATAATAGTATACTTTAGAAGTTTCAATTACCCACGAATAATATTATACAATCACATCAAAATAACTAAAATAGTTATTCTAGGTTTTTAATATGTAATTTCGTCCAAATTTGAAATTAAAATGACTATAAAAATAAACTGTGTTTATGTATTTTTTAGATTTTTTGGTAACAGAATAAACTACTTACGTGGAATCTTGTTTTAAATTTTCAATCCTTAGATATAAAAGTTGAACATTTTATACATTTTAAACTACAAAATAATTATTCAATTTTAAATTTGATAAATTTTGTCAAAATTTGATCTTTAAATCCTTATAAAAAAAAATTGTGCCTTTGTTTTTTTTTTATTTTTCAACTGATATTGTAACAATATATCAGGAGCCTTGTACTATTTTTACAAATCAAAACAGTAGAAAAAAGTGAAAAGAATAAAAAACTCTGGACGCAGTCAACTAAAAACCCGGCACAACTAAAGTATTTGTAATGGTGTATTACCATTATATAGAATATATAGTCAATTATATTCAATTTCTAATTGAATGTAATATTGAGTTATTCAACTCATAAAGTACACTAATATTAAAGTGTTAAAAATAAACGTATAACTTAAGAACTAATAATTTCGCCAATTTATTTTTTCACTAACAAAACACGCGGCAACACCCCTTTTCAAAAAGTATAGTTCAATATTTTGTAACCGATATCAATATAAATATTAACATTTAGTATAGTAGTTAAAACTTAAAAGTAAATTACATTTTAATGTATAAATCCCAATCATTAATTACCTATTGGCTATTATAGTATAATATAACATATACTATAGCCTATGCCCTATGGTTTGATATTATCATTTTAATATGATTGTTTTTTATTTAACACTTGTAATGCCTATTATTGCATTAATATTTTTTAATTTACATGTATTCACTTATGATTTCAAAACATTGTAATAATATTTCTATGCAAATTTTATAAAACTAACTTTTTTGTTATAAAATTCTCGATTTCCCGATTGGCCTATCCGCCCCTGCAAGTACCTAGCAAATAAAACTCTTTATAGTAAATAATTATATAATGGTTTTTTAGATGACTTGGTATATATAATATAATATGTACCTAAGCAATCTGTCAGATAACAATACTTTTTTTTTTCAAAAACAAAAGTATAATTTAATTATAATAGGAAAACAAACAAAATTCTCCCTGAACATACTCAGTGAGTAGCTTAAATAAACCTATTCAAACTAAACGTACATTCTCATAGGTGAAATGTGAAAATATTACATTGTAAAAATCTATTACAACTAATACAGTAATTAAAAAAGTCATGGAACATTAGCTCTGTTGTATACTACGATAAGTAAATTTAGAAATCAACTAAACATACATTTAGTATGTGGCACAACCACATAGGACATAGCAGACAGCTGCAGTATACAAATTACAAGGAATTACAGTGGATTTAAATAATTATATTAATATTCATCTAAGGTTATTTTTTTTTTAGTTAGACCAAAAAAACTAAATTGTTTATGTCAAATTGATTTTAAGTAAAAATTCTAGTTTTTTCTTAATTTGACTCTTGTTTTTCTCATCAGGTTAAAAACTACTTTTCTATTTTCTATTTCGACTTTTGATTGCACCAACTAGACACATTTTCCCACCAGAAAAGATAAAATTGAAAATTGAAGCTTTATTTCGACTAAACAGGACGCAAAAAAAAAAAAAAAAAGAAACACCTCATTGGAAGAACAATTCATTAATTGCTCAGAATCTAAGATTAAGACATTTTAAAACGCATGGTATGTTGTAAGAAAATGTATTCTTTCTAAATATTGTATACTATGATTGGGGATCGGCTACCTATTTTAGTTTTAAGTTTTAACCTAATTTTAGTTGAATACTAATAATATAGTACTATATATTATATCTTATCAGTATCTTGTCATTATTACAAAATTAATGCACTAAAAGGGTTAACATATAAATACATTTATTAAAAAATCACCAAAGTCACTTACAAAAATATTCCATTCACATAACATTCATTGGACATTTCCAACAATAAAAAAAGTTAACATGCATATCAAATACATTCCAATAATATTATTACACAAAAAAGAGGGGGAAATCAATAATAATTTAATAATTACAAAATAAACATTTAACTATTAATGTACCAATTTAAATAAATCTTACTTTTAAAAATAATAATGAAATTATAATCAGGTGGTTTTAGGCTGAATGCTAATATAGGAAAAAATAAAACAACAATGGTATGTAAATTCTTCAACACTTGATTGAACTGTTATTAGGTAACTGAAGTGCATTCACCGATTTCATAATATCGTCAGACTGAAATAAACATTTTAAAATTAGCTTTACACAAGCAAACAACAAAATATATAAAATATAACATACAATTTCACTATATTCTTTATCTTCATCATAATCTTCTTCTTCATCATCTTCATCTTCTTCATCATCAACTTCAAATGCTAATTTTCCAGCATAACTCTCAATGTTTGGATCGACTTTGTCTATTAAGCAATCAATTAGATTAGCTCTATTAAGAGCTACAGCAAAGTGTAATGCCGTATATCCGCTTTTATGATCCTAAAAATTAATAATTAAATTGTTAGTAATTTTAAATTTAATTTTTAGTACAGTTTGATTATATGTTATGAATATTAATTTCCATAAAATATACAACGATCATAACATTTTCACATTCAATGTAAAATAATTACTATACTACACAAATTAAAATGATTATGAAGAGGGCCACTAAATGGAATAATTAATTGTTCATTGTATTAGGTAAACATATCAGTGATCACAGATATTGTGCATGTATATTCTGTGCAACATATATACCCTACACCTGTATCCTGTACTCACTACTTATTATAATAATTATAAACTTGTGAATATTTTTTTAACAGAAACCAAAATACAAAAATTATATTTGTGCCAACTATCTTCAAAATTAATATTTATATTTAATATACCTAAATAATTTTCTTTTTAAATCTATGATTTAAGTCATACAAGATTCCTTTTAAGTGGGTCTAAAATAAATGTCTATAGGAAAGTCAAATTAAATTATTATGAGTATTTAAGTTCAATTTTTTACAACATTAGATATTTACTGGATTTCTCAAATAGCGATTTTCTTATTTTGTTGAAATTCAAAAACGAATAACTGTAGATACTTGAAATTTTATAATATATGTTTATTTAATCAATTCTAATACTCGATAAATTATTTTTTTAATATTTTGACTGTTTTCAATCTGTTTATGGACATTTTCAATTTTCAATTTTTTAAAATTTTTTTTTTTCTATAAATGTCAATAAAATGTTATTTGTTGTTCCAAAAATAGTGAAAATTGAATACAAGGCTTCTGATATATTGTTACAATAGTAGTTGAAAAATATTAAAAATAAAGGCACAATTTTTTTATAAAAATTTTAAGATCTATTTTAGGAAAACTCTATCGAAATTTAAAATTTAAAAACGATTTATGTTAAAATGTACCTTTTTACAAACAATACAAGTTATAAATACATAAATTATTATTAAAATTGTAATGGTGCAGACGTTATGAACTACCTATTAGTTCATTTGAAACCCAAATAATTTGTAATATATTATATATATATATATATTAATACTATATTATGACAAAAAACATTGAAAAAAAAATGTTTTTTTAACTTACCGTGATATTCACATTTTTTGAATTATTAACAATAAATCTAAGTAGATTTGGATGGTTAGCAATTGTTGCAATATGAATACATGCCAAACCTGGAAAAAAAAATTTCATTAAATTTAAAATGATTCACAAATATATTAAGTGAATAAACATATACAGAAATCAGTGTTTCGTCATAAATCATAAGACTGGAAAATTTAATTTTTTTAGTATTGTAAATCAAGGTTACCATTAGTCATAAATAATTTATTTACCAATAAATTTTATTGACTTATTTTAATTTAATAAACATATTATGTCAAACACTACCAGTAGTGTGCCCAGACATTTTAAATAGAAAGGAGTGGTTTTGAAAAAAGTATCCCTGTAAGGTACTGCTGCTACCGTGTAATCAAGTGGGGGAAGAGGGTTAATCCCATTGGGCAGAGGATATCCCTCATCATCACATACCTTGTCATGTGCCTCTTCAAATTACAATACTAATTTAACTATGCGAACAATAAATAATTATGAAAATAAAATATAATTAAACTAACAACTAAATATGAAATTCAATTCTAACATCAATCAATTTTTTTCTAAAAATTATTGTTAGTATTTTTAAATTTTTTCCACAAAATCGATTTTGGTTTTTGGCGTAACTCTAAAACAAATGAATGTATATACATGAAATTTTCACTAGTTGTTTATATTTGCATTTTCTATATACGATGAAATTTTCAAAATATTAAGATTTGTTTTGAACTGTTTAAGAACATTTTCATTTTCCATTTTTTTTTAGTTTTTTTTTTTCTAGAAACGCTGTGGCTAGAGTCACGGACACCGTGAATATAATGCGTTCACGGACATTCGATGCGCGCATGCGCAAATACTATATTTTGTTATCATGTCCGGGTATCTACTGAGTATCCGGACACTGATAAAATTATTATCATATTATCATTATTTAATACGTTTGTCCGTACATTGTTTTAATATTATCAAAATACGTTTTCCGTACATTATTTTAATATTAAAAGTATATTGTTTTAATATTATCAAAATACGTTTTCCGTACCTACATTATGTCCTTACATTAATATATTAACACTTTAATATTTTAAATTATTATTATTATAACTTACCACAATATTACTTACCTTAAACTGGCTAATTATTATTATTTTTTAATAAATGTTAAAACAGTGCTGTGAAGATTTAATTTATTTATTACATATATTTATACACTTTGAACAAAACCAAGCACTATTTTTTTCTTTGGATGCAAGTTTTTTCTCACATTTTGTGTGATACCAAAGTAAGCAACTATCACACAAAATGGAGTTGTCGGAACCAATATCTATATTACATTTCGGACATATCCATACATCTTTTCGTTTCTTCAAAGTTTTTTCCAAGAACTTCCATCCTTTACGTGAAAAAAATTTTTGAATTAAACTTAATTTCACATCTTCCTCTAAAATAGAACTTTGAATTTGTTCATAATAAAAGTACATAATAGTACTTCAATTGTTCAGAAGAATTGGCCAGTTTCGGGTACCGTCTAATTTGTGATTTCGCAGTTTTTGAATCTTTGATATAAAAGTCAACGAATGTTGACTTTTTATATTGACTTAAAGCCTCTTCAAAATCCGCGTAAGTTTTAAAAGCGTCGCCCACACGCATAGTTAAAATTTTTATATAATATACTTTTAATATTAAAACAATGTACGTACAAACGTATTAATATACTTTTAATATTAAAATAATGTACGGAAAACGTATTTTGATAATATTAAAACAATGTACGGACAAACGTATTAAATAATGATAATATGATAATAATTTTATCAGTGTCCGGATACTCAGTAGATACCCGGACATGATAACAAAATATAGTATTTGCGCATGCGCGCATCGAATGTCCGTGAACGCATTATATTCACGGTGTCCGTGACTCTAGCCACAGCGTTCTAGAAATATCAATTATATTTTATTTGTTGATTAAAAAAGCTTGAAAATTTAATAGAAGACTCCTAGTATATTGTTTCAAAGGTGGATGAAAAATATTAAAAATCCTTAGTCACAATTTGTTTTATAAGCATTTAAAGTTCAAAAATTGACAAAATATGGAAAAATCACGAAAATTAGTAAATTATTTTGAGTTAAGAATTAGTAAACATTTTTCTTTTTAAATCTAAGATTTTAAAATGTGATAAAATATTCCTTATAAGATTATCTACCTTTAACAAGAAATAAATGTCTATAAGAAAGTCAAATTAAATTTTTATGAGCGTATGAAATTCAAATTTTTACAATATTGGATACTCGATTTCTCATGTAGTGATTTCCTTATTTTGTTGTAATTCAAAAACGAATGACTGTAGATACATGAAAATTTCACTGAATGTTTATATTAGCATTTTCTATACACCATAACATTTTAAAAATATTTTGACTCTTTTTGAGCTGTTTACGGACATTTACAGTTTTCAATTTTTTTAGTTTTTTTTCTATAAATATCAATTAAGTTTTATCTGTTGGGCCAAAAAATGTAAGAATTTAATAAAAGGCTCCTGATATATTGTTAGAATATCAGTTGAAAAATATTATAAATACATAGGCACAATTTTTTTTTTTAAGCATTTTAAGATAGAATTTTGACAAAATTAATCAAATTTCAAATTGAATAATTATTTTGTAGTTAAAAATGTATAAAACATTCAACTTTTATATCTAAGGATTGAAAATTCCACCTAAGTAGTGTATTCTGTACCCAAAAAATCTAAAAAAATACAGAAGAACAGTTTATTTTTATATTCATTTTAAGTTCAAATTTGGACGAAATTTTTATATATCTATGATAGTATCACGGTTTGTTATTGATGTAAAACGCGTTATAAGTACCTAATGGATATTGTGATATGATTAATTTGGAATTTATTATAAGTATCTATTATAGGTTATTTTTTTTTAATACCATAGAATATATGTATGTAATATGTCTTATACCTAGACTGACATACCGTCTCCGCTCAGAATCGTTTTTCTTATACAATGATATTATATCATTGAATTCAAATTTTATACCATCCATTATATAGTGACCCACTTGTAACCTACTGTACAGCAGAGCACATTTGTAATCTGTGTACTTATCATACTTAAATTCATTCCATACATATTCGCATGACATCATTATACAAATCACTGTGAATCACGGTCAAATCTATAAACATTCAACTGGGTGGGGGAAATCAAGGACAGTGTATTATATTATCTTTTAAATTAATGCTTCATGTCCATAAAGTATATTTCCCTCCTTTCTTGTAAAACTCATTAAATATTTATTTAACTACTTCAATTTAATAAATTTTAATATATAATTATTATAATATTAATAAAGGTCAAGTGTTATTAAGGAATTAGATAAGACTAGAATACGATTTGTTTCTTTGTTAAAACATGTTACAAGTTACAACCAAACATCCAAAATCATACATTAATCACTTTGATATTTTAATTATCATTTATATTTATAAAGCATTTACTTGCATTTGTGAAAAATAAAAATAAAAACATATATTATAATTTTGTTTAGTATTCACTATTCAAACCTAAATTATACACTGTTATTAAATACCATCAGAAGTATAGTATATTGGACATAAGCCAGTAGGTAACTATTTTAAACATAAAATAAACTTTAAATCAGACCACAATAACTTTAAAATAAAATTATATACACAGTAAAAAAGAGTAAAAAGTATTTATTTAATTCACAAAATGTCAATATAAATGCATGATTTTATTTTCAATAGGTAATTATAGTATTGAAAAATAATTGCCATCACAAAATATTTTTGATACTATTTGTAAAAGAGGGTAAACCACTAGAAACTATTTTAGATTTTCAGAGATTATTAGAATTTCCAAAGATTAGCAGATACCTATTGCTAAAGATCACCAGAGATTCTTTAAGATTTGTATACTGATTACCACAAGAAATTTATTAGTTTTGTATGATTGAAAGTTCCAAAATTACCAACAGTATAGCCATATAGGTCCAAATAAAAATAATAAATATTTAAGTATGATTTTAAATACATAATTTTTTTTAAATATAAATTATCATTCTGATACATTTATTAAACTCAAAATAATTATTTACCTATATATTTAATATAAATTAGATACATACCATCATAATTAATAATATTAAATATTTTTGGCAGTGATACGTAATTAGCAAATATTTTCAGGCAATCTAGTTTTCCATCATAACATGCCAAATGAACAGCTGTATTGCCTTTATAATCTAATATTTCTGCATTGGCATGAGCCATCATTAGGAGTTTCACAATTTCACATTGATTTGTCATAACAGCCAAATGAAGAGCATTCTAAAAACCAAATTCAAGTTATAAATCAATGTAAGTCCATCAAATAATATTTGAGTTATAATAGGCACAATATATAAATATAAATATGAAAATAAAATAGGTTATTTCCTGTTATACGAGACTACAGCTATTATCGAGACTACCACCCAAGATTACCCCTGTTACCACAACTACTGCTATTGTTTTGTGAAACATCACAATCCAGTTATCTAGAACTACCATAATGTGCACATTTTCCTATTACCACAGACTACCTTATTTTTATTAATCATATTTAATTATTTTATATTTTTTTTTAATATGTAGGAGATGGCCATATTTGAATTTATTGTATATAAAAAAAAAAAGAAATAAAGAAAAAATATTAATACCCAGTAATTATTAATTGTAATATATTTTACAAAGTAAACGCCACACTCTGCGTACGGCCACTGAAAACAATAAAATAATAATACAAAGAATATTATTTTTGTTGTTGCCGAACACAAACATGAACAAAAATGGTAAATCCATAAGTAAAATAATAAATAAAAATGGGAATGGCCACATTCAAATAATATAAAAAAAATTATATCGTTCAGCTATTGTGGTAGTCACAATAACGGAGGCAGTCTTGGGTGGTAGTCTCATATAACAGGAAAGTACCTTAAAATATTTACTCAAAAATAATAACAACAGATTTAATTAATCAAAATATATTATTTTCTAGTCATAAGCAAATTAATTAGTATAGGAACTTCTAACATAAACAATTTGTACTGGGTTAAAACTAAAGGTACAAAATATAGGGGTGGGTAGATTAGTTAGCTGGTCATGGTTTAAAATAAAAATATTTAAAATTCACTAATAAAAATCAAAAGTAAGTAATTTTGTTGTAGTTTTATACTAAGAGGGTAAAAATAAAATAATTTTGTATAATAGACTAACCTTTGATTTTAATAGTTTATCCATAAAACATTATTGTAGTTTACTACTATTTTCAATTTATTTATTTATTGCTTATGGCTGGTATACAGAATACAGATCAACATGACATATAATAATAACATAAATATAGTATTATATCAAGTAACAAATTTTGCCAGTAAAATTGTTGTCACTAGTTAACAGTTGCAATATTTCTTACAAAGTCAAACGTAACAAACAAATGAAATGAAGTATTTCCAATGCCATAGCTTTTTGAGTAGACAAGTTTATGTTTGTGGCTAAACTATGAACAACTATCTTAAAGCTAGTTTAAAATGTAAAATGTAACATTATATATTTAAATTTTCAGTGGATGGATAGGGTTTTATGATTTTTAAATTAGTTAATATATTTTAATTATTTACAATTGTCCTTAGATTTTAAATAAATATATGATAGTATTAAACACTTACTTGGCCATCATCATTTCGTATATCTAAAATTTTGGAATCTGGGCAAATATCAATTAAGCGTTTTGATAATTGGATATCTCCATGGATAATAGCAAGATGAAGTGGCCTAAAATATATTTAAACAAATGTTCAGTTGCATGTATGAATATTAATGCAAATAGACAATAGTACTTAGAAAGTAACAGCCCAACAAATCATAAATAAAACATATGTTTGGTAGGTACACTATGATGGTATTAACGGTCATTATCAAGTTCTGGAAGCAATGGCCATGATGGAGTAGACTCAAATTCAGTCTGTTAGACTTCCACATGATACTCTGTACCAAATAAGAGTATACCGGGCGGCGCACGAAGACCGGTCGAAACTCTCACATGACAGAGAGCATTTGGCAGTGGCGGCGAATACGGCCGACTACCAATGACAGAGCGAATAGACCCAGCCAGGGGGTCCGGACGTCACTCCGAGATTCATTAGGATGCGCCAACATGGTATGCTCTTATTTGGTACAGAGTATAACTCTATTGAGACATGGTTGCTTTGGTTCATAACTTATAAGATAGGAAAGTAACAGTCTGTGCAACAGTGTAATTAGATGGATCATTCAATGTCTATTTTATAGTGGAAATACTAAAAGATCCATCAATGAAACTGCCTCTATCTTCCACAAGTGCTTCCACTCCAAACTACGAGATAATCCTAATCAACTAATAAACGAATTAGCCTCACTTATACACCCCGGCAATCCAGCTAGATGCCTCAAAAGAAACTGGTGCCGTGACCTGATAACTTAAGATTAAGTACTTAAAATATTCAGGGGTGTCACAAATGTGTGATTTCCCCTTCATGTTTATAATTTAACCTGTGAACTATCTGTAAAATATTTATATTACTTATTGTACTCGATGTATAGATTGTAATTTTTCATAATAAAGTCAAATATATTTAAAAAAAAAAAAAAAAGTAAGTGGGTAAGTGTTTTGTGAATAAATGATAAATTATTTATATATATAAATTTATTAGGGAGATTAGACCCCACATTTATAATATTAACAGATTATTTTTAAGAACGATTGTAAATTGTTTTGATGTTCACAATAAACGATGTGTAGGACCAGATGAACTGCCACAACAGGTGTCAACTTATCCTGAGCGTTATCATTAAATAATAATAATAAAAGTTACACTATAAAAGGCTGGTATACAAGTATTTATTTAGATTCCAACATTAACTTAGATTTTTACAGATTTTTAGGCGACTCCTACACATAATTAGTAATGGAGCAGAAGTCCTAAAAATATGGTAGGACAAAGTATACCTAATAAAAAAAGAGTAGTATCTTATCTAGGACTTTATTAAAGTGGATTTCATCAAAACACATGCCCACCCATATAATATACTATATCATAAAGGTGCCATCATAATTTTTGTAAACACAATATAAAATTTGGTGCCACTGCAATATACCTACTATTAAACTTAGTAGTAACATTTAATAATGTTAATTCTTTACCAATATTATACTTATGGACCATTTTTTAAATGCTTGCATACTTAATAACTAAATAACACTAAATAATTAATAATATTTAAAATTTCATACGTTTTGAGGTCCTTATACTTTTATATGTGGGTGATCTTACCATACACATCCAAATATCTAATTGTCGAGATACTCAAGTTAGGTAGATTTAAAAAAGAAGTTGGAAATATTAATGGGTAACTAACTAAGTACCTATAACAAGACTCTGGGATTTGAATTATCTACCTACTGTCAATAATTGATAGTAATATATAATCAATAGTATAACTGAGGATATTACTATTATTGGCTGAGAGATTAGGAATATATTTAGGCTCAAATTAGATAATACCAAAATGGTTTTAGGTAAAGATTAGGTAGGTATATAAACATAAAATATTTAGGTACATACGTGTCACCATCGTCATTCTGTTGAAAATAAAATCGCCATACATTTTTGTGATAGGGTTCCCGGTCAATATTCAAATCACCCAAATCGTCTGTTACACAGATATCCACGCCACTGTCCAATGTTATTTTTGTTGTTTCCTTCTGCTGTTTATCGTTGAGGAGCTCTTTGAGCTTGATGTCGTCTTCAATATTCTCTTTGGAATGAAGAGCATTCTAAAAACCAAATTCAAGTTATAAATCAATGTACCCAAGTCCATAAAATAATATTTGAGTTATAATAGGTATCGCACAATATATAAATATAAATATAAAAATAAAATAGGTTCTTTCCTGTTATACGAGACTACAGCTATTATCGAGACTACCACCCAAGATTACCCCTGTTACCACAACTACTGCAATTGTTTTGTGAAACATCACAATCCTGTTATCTAGAACTACCAAAACGTGCACATTTTCCTATTACCACAGACTACCTTATTTTTATTAATCATATTTAATTATTTTATATTTTTTTTTAATATGTAGGAGATGGCCATATTTGAATTTATTGTATATAAAAAAAAAAAGAAATAAAGAAAAAATATTAATACCCAGTAATTATTAATTGTAATATATTTTACAAAGTAAACGCCACACTCTGCGTACGGCCACTGAAAACAATAAAATAATAATACAAAGAATATTATTTTTGTTGTTGCCGAACACAAACATGAACAAAAATGGTAAATCCATAAGTAAAATAATAAATAAAAATGGGAATGGCCACATTCAAATAATATAAAAAAAATTATATCGTTCAGCTATTGTGGTAGTCACAATAACGGAGGCAGTCTTGGGTGGTAGTCTCATATAACAGGAAAGTACCTTAAAATATTTACTCAAAAATAATAACAACAGATTTAATTAATCAAAATATATTATTTTCTAGTCATAAGCAAATTAATTAGTATAGGAACTTCTAACATAAACAATTTGTACTGGGTTAAAACTAAAGGTACAAAATATAGGGGTGGGTAGATTAGTTAGCTGGTCATGGTTTAAAATAAAAATATTTAAAATTCACTAATAAAAATCAAAAGTAAGTAATTTTGTTGTAGTTTTATACTAAGAGGGTAAAAATAAAATAATTTTGTATAATAGACTAACCTTTGATTTTAATAGTTTATCCATAAAACATTATTGTAGTTTACTACTATTTTCAATTTATTTATTTATTGCTTATGGCTGGTATACAGAATACAGATCAACATGACATATAATAATAACATAAATATAGTATTATATCAAGTAACAAATTTTGCCAGTAAAATTGTTGTCACTAGTTAACAGTTGCAATATTTCTTACAAAGTCAAACGTAACAAACAAATGAAATGAAGTATTTCCAATGCCATAGCTTTTTGGGTAGACAAGTTTATGTTTGTGGCTAAACTATGAACAACTATCTTAAAGCTAGTTTAAAATGTAAAATGTAACATTATATATTTAAATTTTCAGTGGATGGATAGGGTTTTATGATTTTTAAATTAGTTAATATATTTTAATTATTTACAATTGTCCTTAGATTTTAAATAAATATATGATAGTATTAAACACTTACTTGGCCATCATCATTTCGTATATCTAAAATTTTGGAATCTGGGCAAATATCAATTAAGCGTTTTGATAATTGGATATCTCCATGGATAATAGCAAGATGAAGTGGCCTAAAATATATTTAAACAAATGTTCAGTTGCATGTATGAATATTAATGCAAATAGACAATAGTACTTAGAAAGTAACAGCCCAACAAATCATAAATAAAACATATGTTTGGTAGGTACACTATGATGGTATTAACGGTCATTATCAAGTTCTGGAAGCAATGGCCATGATGGAGTAGACTCAAATTCAGTCTGTTAGACTTCCACATGATACTCTGTACCAAATAAGAGTATACCGGGCGGCGCACGAAGACCGGTCGAAACTCTCACATGACAGAGAGCATTTGGCAGTGGCGGCGAATACGGCCGACTACCAATGACAGAGCGAATAGACCCAGCCAGGGGGTCCGGACGTCACTCCGAGATTCATTAGGATGCGCCAACATGGTATGCTCTTATTTGGTACAGAGTATAACTCTATTGAGACATGGTTGCTTTGGTTCATAACTTATAAGATAGGAAAGTAACAGTCTGTGCAACAGTGTAATTAGATGGATCATTCAATGTCTATTTTATAGTGGAAATACTAAAAGATCCATCAATGAAACTGCCTCTATCTTCCACAAGTGCTTCCACTCCAAACTACGAGATAATCCTAATCAACTAATAAACGAATTAGCCTCACTTACACACCCCGGCAATCCAGCTAGATGCCTCAAAAGAAACTGGTGCCGTGACCTGATAACTTAAGATTAAGTACTTAAAATATTCAGGGGTGTCACAAATGTGTGATTTCCCCTTCATGTTTATAATTTAACCTGTGAACTATCTGTAAAATATTTATATTACTTATTGTACTCGATGTATAGATTGTAATTTTTCATAATAAAGTCAAATATATTTAAAAAAAAAAAAAAAAGTAAGTGGGTAAGTGTTTTGTGAATAAATGATAAAATGAATACCTAACTAACAAATGGCCTATAATTTAAAAATAAATAATTATAAATTCCATAACAAAAAAAAATCATTTTCAACATTTTCCGGGACATTTTCAGTTTTTGACAATGTTCATGAAAATTTACAGTTCTAGCCTCCAGGTCAATGCACTCTAATTTTTAAATTAACAGGAGCTACACGTGTTCTGCTGGGCATAAAATTTGCTATGTTACGTACTTGTAAGAAGGAAACAACACATGCGGGTATCACGTCCCCTTAAGTATTTGATTGTAGACTAAAGGTCACAATTTATTAGGGAGATTAGACCCCACATTTATAATATTAACAGATTATTTTTAAGAACGATTGTAAATTGTTTTGATGTTCACAATAAACGATGTGTAGGACCAGATGAACTGCCACAACAGGTGTCAACTTATCCTGAGCGTTATCATTAAATAATAATAATAATAAAAGTTACACTATAAAAGTCTGGTATACAAGTATTTATTTAGATTCCAACATTAACTTAGATTTTTACAGATTTTTAGGTGACTCATACACATAATTAGTAATGGAGCAGAAGTCCTAAAAATATGGTAGGACAAAGTATACCTAATAAAAAAAGAGTAGTATCTTATCTAGGACTTTATTAAAGTGGATTTCATCAAAACACATGCCCACCCATATAATATACTATATCATAAAGGTGCCATCATAATTTTTGTAAACACAATATAAAATTTGGTGCCACTGCAATATACCTACTATTAAACTTAGTAGTAACATTTAATAATGTTAATTCTTTACCAATATTATACTTATGGACCATTTTTTAAATGCTTGCATACTTAATAACTAAATAACACTAAATAATTAATAATATTTAAAATTTCATACGTTTTGAGGTCCTTATACTTTTATATGTGGGTGATCTTACCATACACATCCAAATATCTAATTGTCGAGATACTCAAGTTAGGTAGATTTAAAAAAGAAGTTGGAAATATTAATGGGTAACTAACTAAGTACCTATAACAAGACTCTGGGATTTGAATTATCTACCTACTGTCAATAATTGATAGTAATATATAATCAATAGTATAACTGAGGATATTACTATTATTGGCTGAGAGATTAGGAATATATTTAGGCTCAAATTAGATAATACCAAAATGGTTTTAGGTAAAGATTAGGTAGGTATATAAACATAAAATATTTAGGTACATACGTGTCACCATCGTCATTCTGTTGAAAATAAAATCGCCATACATTTTTGTGATAGGGTTCCCGGTCAATATTCAAATCACCCAAATCGTCTGTTACACAGATATCCACGCCACTGTCCAATGTTATTTTTGTTGTTTCCTTCTGCTGTTTATCGTTGAGGAGCTCTTTGTGCTTGATGTCGTCTTCAATATTCTCTTTGGATAACATAATATCACAAGACAAATTGGCACCAGACAAGAATCCAGAATCCATTTGCATGTTGCTATTGTCTTCGGCAACCTTTTCACTTTTAATGGACTGCAGTTGTTTCTCCCGCTTGCCTGAAAGTTCCATTTTTAGTTTGTCTGCGTTGCTCTTAGACCACATACTTATGCCAATAAAAAGTGCGTTTGTGAAAGAAAAAAATCTATTCACGACGACGACGTATATTATTACTGAAGAAACTAGGTAGAGTACAGTTTAATAATTATCAATTATAATATTTTATCGCTGTAGTGAAGTGAGTATAATAATATAGAAGTTGTACTTTGGAGTACTACTGATTACATTTGTAGTCATCGGTTCGCAAATAAAACACGGCGATAAAAACTAATTAAAAAGGAAAACGAATTAAAAAAGAAAACGAATTAAAAAGTAAAACGAATTAAAAAATAAAAATAAAATCAAAACGGATTTTTCAACAATACAGAACACAAATAAACACAAATGGACTAGAACGATGATAAAAATTATTGTTTGTAAACGATCGGAAGACTATAATACGATCATGCCGCACGCACGGAAAACATTTAGGTGAAAAAAACTAACGATAGATAATAACAATTTAAGACGGTATGAATCGTAGACTCGATTGCTACAATGCTATAAAAAAAAATACATGCTAGTATCCCACACTTATTCACTCTCACTACGACCGACGACGGACACGGGCGGCGCACAACTGCTACTGCACTCGTTAGTCGTTACACTAGTCTAGTCTATAGCAGTAAGACTACTAAAGTACTAAGCTAAAAAACAGTACCTAACGTGCCAACTACAGCAGAGCCCGTCGTCGTGTGAAGTCGAGACTGTCTGCCCGTGATCCGGGGAACACCGAACACGGTGAACAGAAAACGACGACGGAATACCTATTATGATATTATTATGGTAATGTCACGCACTATAGGATAGAGGATAGTCCGTGGGTAATGGTAAATTGGTAAATAATAATAATATTATGTATTTATGTGGGTACGATATTTTTATCACTGCTCGAAATTACGGGAATCGACATTCGACAACAACGTCTGTTATTGCGGTCGTGGTTGTGTTGATACCAACCAACCAACCACAGAATATGTATTATACATTTATACAACACTGTATACAACCAAGTATCAACCTGCTTACCTGCAGCCTACAGCATTGCAGCTGCTGCTACGGTACGCGATGTCCATACAGAGTGTAACAGATATAACTGACATTTGGAACAACTTTAGTACTAATCAATATTTAAGTTTTTTTTTTTTTACATATAATTTATAGTCACTTGCGCTACACCGTGATTTTGAAGAGCAGTTGCCCGATCATTTTAAAGTGGTAGTTAGGTGGGCGAGTACTGGATTTAGTGTGAAATTAAAGTACAAAACTAACTTCATCTGAATATGATATTTAATAAGAATAATAACTTCAATAATAAGTATTATATTATTAAGTAATCAAGGGGTGGTAGCCGGTGGAACACTCAAAAAATGAATTGCCTGATAAAATATTTCACTTCTCCACGTTACTGCCGCTACACATATATATCATACGAAAAATTATTTTATACTTTTTAACACTGGTCACTGAAAATAAAAAATTTTAAATTTGATTTAAATTTTTTTGGATATATTCAAAATAGCAAATTTGTGAATCTAATTATAAGAAAAATTTTGATAGTAAAAACATTTATCGATGTCAAGTAGTTTATTTTTTAGAATTTTTTAAAATATCAATATATTTTGATTAAATTTTTTTTTTTTTACATTTATTTGAATATATACAATCTATAATAATAGTTACAATAAGCATATGAGCTGGATTCTAATTGACTTTGAAAGCGTGAGGGGAGTAGTTACCCAGCAGTAACACTCGACGTACAATTTTTATTAAATTAATTTAGAACATATTAATAACTTTTTTCAAAATATTTTTTTTGGGAATTTGTTGACAAGAGTATATTTCTTAAATTATTGACTAATCAAAATCTAATTTTAAAATTTTTTTTCATACGTTTAAGTAGCATTTCTGTTACACCTTGTAGAGTATATTATATGACTTAAATCGGCATTCGGCCGTCAGAATATTATAATATGATGGAGGGGCGCACTGTCGACTGGCCACTTGTGGGTCTGTGAGTAACAGAAATCATAGATATTAAAGAATGAATAGGTCATACTCATAGATATAATTACAATATAGAGAAAAACGTGCCGGAATCAGGAAGAGAAAAAGACTATTTTTATCATTACCTCTCATTCTAGCAGAGGTCTTATCATAATATATACAATATACATATACCTAAACATACATTTACTTGTGATAAGACCTCTATAATTACATGTTCGTTCCCGTATAATAATCATAAATGGTCTATCCATTCTATAATATGATAATATCTATAACAGAAATACGAAAATGAAAGGAGCTGGCGCGTAGTTTCATACTTATTACCGAAGTTACTGTAGAATCAGTGGCGTATTTACGATTTTGGGGCCCCTTTTTTTCTCAGTTTCCTTTTATTCATTGTCACAAAAAACTTTTAAGCCCTCTCTAATTTACAATTTACTTTTTCTCTCAGTTAATAGTGCAGGGCTTGAAACCGGTATAAACCGTTATAAAACCGAAACCGAGAACAAAATCAAAACCTACTCAAAAAAAATTGGACACATGTATTACAATTAAAAACCGCAAATATAATTTAAAAAACGGTATTTTTTTGAAAATCTTTGTATTTTGACATTTTTGAAAGTTTACTTTTCACAACAGGCGATCGGACGCTCGATCCAGGGATTCAAAAAAATTAATAAACTAAGAATGAACGTAAATAATCCAAGTCTTGAAACCGATTTTAGAAACCGGTATAAACAGTTTAAAAAAACTGAAACTAATAACAAAATCAAAAACAAAATCGGAAAATATTGGAAACCAGTGTACAAATTGAAACCAAAACAGAAATTTTTTCAAGCCATGTAAAAGTGATAATTGATAACCCAAAATTTATATTTTCCCCTTATTGCATTTATGCTTCCACTAATTTAGAGAACACTTTTATTTTACCATTAACACTCCATTTATTCCTAATAAAAATTCAACCTTTATAATTAATTAAACAAATTTATTATATTTTAGCCATTTAGCCTTTTTACAATTTAATAAAATACATTATATATAATATTATATATATTATATAGGAATACGTATAGAGATATAAAAGATATTATAGTTTTTAGCATAGACGTATAATATAATAGACTAGGAATGAAGTCTTATCATTGAAGCCAACATATGTGCGAGAGAGACAGGCTCTGTTGCGGTTTTATCAAGGACGTTATACAGCTATATGTTTATACTCTTTGGGTGAACTTGTACGATTATAGTGTTTATGTTTTCTTATCAGTAGTCTTATCTAAAAAAAAGCCAAAGAATTTGTAAAATTGTTATATAAAGTCACTGATAAAACCGCAACACAGTCTGTCTCTCTCGCACATATGTCGGCTTCAACGTATTATACGTGCAACACCTATCATTCCTAGTCTATTATATTATACGTCTATGGTTTTTAGCAATAAATCCTTGCCACACATCCAAACGTGTTCCAACCATAACCGCTCTTCCCCACTACAAACAAAAACAACTAATGAGTAATGGCATAACAAAGTAAATATAATGGGCAATGTCCATAGTAGCCGGGCTTAACTCAATAAAAACAAAAAAATTATACAATGCTTTAAGTTTGATGCAGTGGAACCACATTAAAAGTATAAAGTTTAAAGTTTAAGTTTAATAAATAAATAACCGTTCTATTTTTCTCTAAACACAAAGGCGACCTGCAGTGTAATAATAATTATAAAATAATTGTTATAAAATATAAATCCTATCATTACAAAAATTATAATCCCTTTGAATTACATTTAAAAATCGAGCATAAGTCAATTTAAACATTTTTAAGAGCGTCTAAATTAAAAATTCACTAGTGAAATTGCGATTTACTATCAAACGGTTTTAGATATAAAATAAATAAATAAAATATCCTAGACTGACAAATCGTCTTCGTTCAGAATCGTTTTTCGTATAAAATGATACACATAACTTGCTTCACTCATAACTTAAAATAAATAATTCAATACAAATTAACTTACAAATCAACTAAGCCGTCGTTTGATATCTCCACTATTTTTTTTATGAAATTAAATCCATTGCCTTTCATTTTTTTTCGTTTTGACAAACACTTATTTTTAAATTTTCCCATTTTTCAAAAATTGGAAAATTTCTAGACTTACAAAAACTAAGTGCAACTACAACAACTATAAAACTATAAAAGTATATTATGCTACTATTATATGTGCACTAAAGAATAAAGATCTGAATATCTGATAATCGCCGTGACGGTTTGAGCGTGAATGCGCGTGTGCCATGTAATATAATATTATAATATATTATTATAATATTATAGTCAGCGACGCGCGACGGCGACAATAAAATTATCTTCGATCATTATCGGTAAAATTCGGGTTATATTATATTTAGATTTCCGATAGTGCGACCGACGGCGAGCTAGATAAGCGTTGCGAACTCGCACTCACATGCACATGTCATAATATGCCTAACAACAAATTTATTTCGTTGCGAAATGTTGTAAATCATAGACCTAAACTAATTCCAACATACCGACTTGAGTTTTACTCCGATAAAAATTTTGAAAACAAATTTTGTTTTGTTGTTCAATCAACTTTAAATCCTTCGAGCCACATTTTTAATTTATTATTCTTAAAAAGAAAACACCTCACTTGAAATTTAGAAAAAAAAACTTGTATTCTTAAAAATTATAATGGAGATAAATAGTTTTAAATTTTTTTTTTTTTACTATTCTGATTCGAAGGATTCAAAATGTACTTCATAATAAATTCAAATATGTTTTCAAAATTATTATAGGAGTAAAACTCAAGTTAGTACGTTGGAACGAGTATAGGTCTATTTTACTCTAAAAAGTGTTAGTGTGGAATCCCCTTAAGAGGACGCTACCCATGCATTTGTTGTCCCCGTCTTATACACGCACGACATAGCAAATTTCCATTCA